CAGACCAGACATGCAAGTCAAGCACACTGGAAAGCGCTCCTTGACACGGCGACACAAGCCATAAGGAGATCTTTATTTAGAAAGTGCCGCAGGGCAAAAATGACGTGAGCAAGGATTTAGTTGTAAACACATGCACTGCGGCGGGCGGATGGTGTGGAGTTGTTACGACTCTAAATTATTTTGCGCTTTCAGGGTTTCTGGTGCAACAGTGGAAATCAGAGGCTTGGCCCTCGTGGCTGCCCTGCGGCCCTGAGTCTTGCCCATTCTCACAAAAGATGGGAAGGACATGTGAAAGGATTGTAGGGGAGCTATGTCTACCAAGAGCCCTGGTGGCCTAGGGGGTTAGGGGTTGAGCTGCTACCCACAAGGGTGGCGGTTCAGACCTCCCAGGTGCCGGGCAGGAGAAAGATGAGGCTGTCTGCTCCCATCGACTGACAGCCCGGAAGCGTTGTGGGGCAACTCCGCTCTGTCCTGAAGGGTTGCTTTAAGTTGGACGGAGCCAACAGCAGGGTCTTGATTTCCTTGTTGTTGTGGGACGTGTGAGGCCGGGCTGTGTTGAGAAACAAGTGCACCCATCTACGTGGAAGAAAGAACTTGACATCAAGAGGCAACGGGTCCAGTGCCAGCAAGGCCTCTTCAGACTCCTGTGACTGGAGGCCAATGACGCAGAAAGGTGAAGCGGAAGCAGGGAGCTCACAGGCCGGTATGTGCAGACTCACGTGGACCCAAGGTCAGTGGGAGCGTGGCAGGGCATGCTGAGTCAGGTAGCCCACGTGGGGCCAGCCCCAAAGGCAGACAGTCCCAGTGACGTCCCACTGAGGAGGGAGGCAAAGTGGCAGAGAGGCATCATCTCCGGTGAATCTTGTTCTTATATACAAGGCCACGCCCCCAAGGAGGTGTCATCGAGCTAGCACTCGTTGAACAGGTGGAACGTCAACTTCTTTCTAGAAAAGCCTACTTTAGTTTGAACTCCCTCACAACCAGTGTGTGCCAGGGTCAGAGGGGCAAGTAAGAGGGTGGAGGCAGCTGTGGCCCGGCCCCACGGCTCCCCTAACTGCATCTTCCATGACAGGTGAATTGGGGGGAGTGAGCCCTGGTGGCCTCATGAGATAGGGGTTTCGATCGTTCCCGTCATTTTGCTGTTATGAAAATTGCTGTGATAAACATGGGTGTGCATGTCTGCTGGTGTTTGTTCATCATTTCTTTAGGGTCGCCCTAAGTAGAGGGATGACAGTCACCAGCTATTTGTGCTTGTTGAAGGAAGCGCCACAGGTTCCCCTGGTGGTTGTACAGTCCTTTAGCCCACCAGCCAGCCCGAGTGAGTGTTCCTATCTCTCCACAAAACCAAATTGTAACGGCAATAAAGTGATCATTCAAAACGATACCTTCCAAGAGGCTCCGGGACTGAGGCTGGCATCGGCTTGTCTTCTCTGTGGCAGGCTCCACACTGCAGGCCTGATCTGCTAAGATTCCTGTCCACCTGGGCATCCTTCTGACCTGCCCTCAGGGCCACCTGTCGTCTGACTTCTGATGGTGCAGTGGCTCTGGCTACCTTTGCCTTGGTTTCCAAAATGATTTCGTTTCCCCCTGAGCTCATTAACCCCAGGGCTGGAGGTGCAAAGGGACCACGGCAAGAGGGGGACAAGACTGGGCTCAGGGAAGGGCCAGGGTCTGGAGAGCTGCTGCCCAGATGTGCCAGGAAGCCCTGCAGAGCCCCGTTCTGCTCTGACTGGCACAGGTAGGTCCCCTGGCATGGGTTTCTGGCTTCCAAGAGCTGTGAGGGAACCTTGTCTGTTCTGTGAAGAAACCCACTTCATGGCATTTGCTTTCAGGCTCATGGGTTCTGTGCTGTGCCTCTTATCAAAGATGCTAAGTTTTAATGCAACTGTGTCTGCATGCCTCATCTTTCTGATACACTCTGTCTGAGGACAGGGCTTCTCCCAGCCCTGGTCAAGGAAATCCAATGGAAGTTTATTCTCTGTGGAGTCCCTGCACATGGATTTTGGGCTTTCACTCTCATCCACAGTCTTCTGCAAACTGGGTGCTCAGAACTTAAGCTCTCATACACTTCCCTCCTCTGATCTTGTGTTTTGCTATTTACCGTCCTTGGATCACACGACTGCCGAGCTTGTCCATGTGGAGTTAGCTGACACTTCACTTAGATGACTGCTTGTTTTAAGACAAGCTTTGAAGACCCCCCCCCCCCAGACATTATTCTTTCTGATATCCAGGTACATCTGATCTCTTCACCGCACTCATATCTTCAGAGATCCCTGGTCAGGGTTGTACCATAAGACACTGATTTTTCTTAGGTTAGGACTTATGGCTAAGTGTGAACTCAAAATCCAGTCATCTATCTGAGGTGTGTATCTATCCCTGTTCCACGTAAGTAGCAGCATTATCGGCGCTTTGAGAGAGATTTAGAGAGACCTCCATGGGCCTTCAGTAATTCTAATGCTAATGCTGCTAAACCGCGGGCTGCTTTCGATCACATCTCCCAGACACCACGCTTTTTAACTAAGGAAGCTGTGGGAACCCCGCATCCAGCAAGCCTGGGGGCGCCTTGTCTCCAACAGCCTGGGCTTACTTTGTGTCTCTGTGTCCCGTGTTGGCCACTTCTGAAATACTCCAGCTTTTCTGTCGTGCTACCGCATCAGTCCTGACTGCTACCTGCTGCTGTGGAGTCAACGCTGCCTCCTAGGGACCCTGTGGGGCAGCGTCCAACTGTCCTGTGGGTTTCTGAGGCTGTCCCTCTTTCTCATCTCTCTCCAGCAGAGCTCCTGGTGGGTTCAAACTCCGCGCCAAACCCACAACATCACCCTAACCAAACTCGCTGCCATCAGGTCGGTTTTGACTGTAGGACAGGGTGGAGCTGCCTCTGTGGGTTTCTGAGCTCATAACTCTGATGGGAGTAGAAAGCCTCATCTGTCCTCCACGGAGCGGCAGGTGGTCTTGAACTAATGGTGTTCTAGTTTGTAGGCTAACACATAAACACTATACCGCCAGGGATCCCCAGGGCCCTTTCAGAAGACTACCCACCACCACTGCCATCAATTCTGACTCGTGACAACCCTATAGGGCAGAGCAGAGCAGCGACTATGGGCTTCCAAGACCGTAAGTCTTTACAGAGCAGAAAGCCTCCTCTTTCTTTCCGAGAGTAGTGGGTGGGGTTGAGCCGCTGACTTTGCAGTTAGCAATCCAGTGCTTACCCCACAGAGCTGCCGGGGCTGCTGCACAGACCACAGCACGGTGTCGGCTCAACCTTCAGGAGCCCTGGGAACCTAAATAGCGCCAGGACTCTGTTTATAACAAGTCCTGCTTTTCTGCCGCGGCTGGAACTGAACCTGCCACATCTGTCAGGTTGACCTGTGAGAATCAGTAGTCTGGGTGGGTTTCTAAAGGGGTGGGCTTCTCTACCAGGACCCTGCAGCCTGATCTCCACGCACCGGTGCCCACGAAGCTGTAACCTGCCCACATCAGGGTGGGAGGGTCCTGGCTTTTCTCTGACTGCACCGTGGCCCTGGAACTCTCCACAAGTCCGTCTCCACTGAGGGGAGATGCTGACTGGCTCCCCTCGCCGCCTCCTCTTTGCACCTGATAATGAACACGCCGATTTGGCACTGCTGGCTAAACGCTCTGCCGATGCTGTGGCTGCAGGTCTCAGAGGGGAACCCCCGCAGACAGGACATTTGGTGAGGAGCCCACCACCAGGTCACCAGTGAGGACCATGCCATGGGGGGAGTTAGCAGCTACGCCAAGCCCCTCCTTGCCCCGCCTGTGGTTCAGGTGCCACAGCACTCCTGCAGCAAGGCTTAACGCCCCACTTCAGAGGTAAACAGTCAGGGCTTCCCACAGCTTCTTCACACATGCCCCCTGCCACCCCGAGGGGAAGCCCAGGGCCCAGACCTCCGTGAACAAGATGAACATGGGCTCCCAACACGGACCAGGAGACCCAGGGGAGCTGGACACGGGAGATCCCCACCTCAAGAACCTCAAATCCTAGAAGTTTCTGTGCGCCCGCACGCCAGCAGCTGGTGATGTTCCTGCCTGCAGGACCCAACCTGGCCTGGAGGGCAGACAGAGCCAGGCCGGGTCCCTACATGTGTGTGTGTGTGTGCGCGCACATACATGTATGTGCGTGTTTATGTGTGCACATGTGTGTACATATGCACGTATATGTGCGTGTGTGCATAGCATGTGTGTGCGTGTACATGAGTGTATGTGTATACATGTGTGTATATGTGTATGTGTATAAGTATGTGTATCTGTGTGTATTTGTGTGTATGTGTATGCATGTGTGTGTATCTGAGTCTGTGCATGTATGTGTGTACTTGTATGTGTGCATGTGTGCATATGTATGTGCGCATGTGTGTGCATCTGTGTATCTGTGTGCGCATGTGTATGTGTATGTGTGTACACATGTGTGTATAGTGTATCTGTGTGTATGTGTGTATATGTATGTGTGTATGTATGTGTGTACATGTCTTTGTGTGTGGTGCGTGTGCACACATGTGCGTGTGGTCTCAGAAAGACAAAAGGGCTGTGGAGAAGCAGCAGGTTTCACAAATTCCATTTCAGAAGTGCCCATGCCCTTTGTGCCCTGGAGGAGACGCCCCAGCCCCAGCACAGGATCAGACGAGGTAACTGCCTGGCTGTCAGGCTGAGGGAAGGAGGCCCATGGGCAGGGGGACAGTTCCCATTTCATAGCTGCAAACACCCAGTTGTCCAGACCGAGATGTCCTTGTGACACTGGGTGCCCAGAGTGGGCCAGTGATGAGAAATGAAACTCTACTTCCCCTTTCTGAGCAGCTCCAACGGCCTCGCTTCTCCTGCCGGGTGCTCCTTCCCCAGAAAGCTGTTCTGCACAGATCCAGATCGGGGCTGGCCCCGAGCTCGCTTTGGCAGAGGAAGCCCACAGCTCCCACTCAGAGAGCCGACGAGGGGGAGCGCAGGGCTCACGCCTGTCCCTCTGTGCCAGGTCCCAGCAACCGGCTGGGAAAATGGGGCCCCCAAACTGCTCGGTGCACAGCCTGCCCGTGGAGGTGGCGGTGGCCTCAGTGCTGCTGCTGGAGTTTGGGCTGGGGCTGCTGGGCAACGCCGTGGCCCTGTGGACCTTCCTGTGCCGCCTGAAGGTGTGGAAGCCGTATGCCGTCTACCTGTTCAACCTGGTGCTGGCCGACCTGCTGCTGACCGCCTGCCTGCCCTTCCACATCGCCCTCTACCTGCGACACCGGTCCTGGGGCCTGGGACCCACGGCCTGCCGGGTGCTGCTCTTCCTGCTGGCCCTCAGCCGCGGGGTGGGTGTCGCCTTCCTGGCCGCGGTGGCCTTGGACCGATACCTGCGAGTGGTCCGCCCCGGGCTCAGGGTCAACCTCCTCTCGCCGCGGGGGGCCCGGGCCGTGTCTGGAGGCGTCTGGCTCCTGATGGTGGTGCTCGCTCACCAGAGTGTGCTGATGGCCCCAGCCGCCGGGGACGCCACCGAGTGCCACAGCCCCAGCCCCGTGCTGCCCCTGTCCTTCAGTGTCCTGTGGCAGGAGGTCTTGGCCTTCCTGCAGTTCACCCTCCCCTTCGGACTCATCCTCTTCTGCAATGCCGGCCTCGTCAGGGCCCTCCAGAAGAGGCTCCGGGACCCCGAGAAGCAGCCCAAGCTGCGGAGGGCCAGGGTGCTGGTGACCACCGTGGTGGTCCTGTTCGCACTCTGCTTCCTGCCCAGCTGCATGGCCCGCGTCGTGATGAATGTGACCCGGGGCACCCAGAGCTGCAGGGTGCTGAGAGGGGTCCAGTACAGCCTGGACGTCACCAACAGCCTCACCTACCTCAACAGCGTCCTCAACCCCCTGGTCTACTGCTTCTCCAACCCCACCTTCCGCTACTCCTACCGGAAGGCCTTCAACACGCTCCGGGGTCTGCGGCAGCGGCAGGTAACTGAGCCCCGGGGCTCCGACCTGCAGGCCTCCTACTCCTGAGACATAGCCCTGCTGCCCGGCCCCCTCCCGAGCCGCCTGCCTGGGACACGGAGAACAGAGGTGATGCCCTCGGCCCGCAGGGAGGAAGCTCCACGCACAGAGCCGCCGGGCACAGCTGAGTTGGATACTGGACTGTTACCCAGGTCTTGCTTCTGCTGTGTTGGGCTGCTGGTCGTAAGGTCAGTGGTTCCAACCCACCAGCCGCTCTGCAGGAGAAAGACGAGGCCGGCTGCCGGCTCCGGTGGAGATGGACAGTCTCAGGAAGCCCGAGGCTCCATTCTCCTCTGCCCCCGCGGGTCACTGGGGGTCCACATCGTCTGGATGGTGGGGGCTCTGCTTGGGTCCTTCTGGGGTGCCCAGCTCACACTGCAGCAGGCAGAGCCAGGCAAGCCCCAGGCCAGAGTCACTCTCTCACATGGACGCTGAGATGCAGGGGTTAGCAGCCCACTCAGTGGCCATCTCAGACCCTTAGTTACAGAAGCCCCTTTGGAGGGTCCCTCTCGGATAATGGGGAGGTGGAGAGCCGTGTTTGTGCAGCCCGCTGTGCTCCTGGCAAGGAGGGTCTCCTCTCCTCCACCTGGTGTCCAGGAGCGAGCATAGCTCAAGCTGCTCACACCCTCCCCCCTCCCCCCATGGTCCAGGCTCATCTTTGTCGCTTGATGGGGTGTGGGCAGGTGAGGGGACAGGTTTGGGGGTCCGGAAAGAGCTCCCAGGGCACAGGAGGCTTCATGGAATTCGTGAGGAACAGAAAGAGACAAGGGGACTTTTTGCACGAACTTCCCAAATCCTCCTCCTCCTCTACGTCACCATAGTCGGTGCTCCACCTGTGTGTCCTGTGACCTTGGCTTTGCTGGTCTACATCACAGGAGGCCAAAGAAAAGAAACCCCTCCGCCTCCCCCTAAACAAGGTGCCATCGGGTGGGCTTGAGAGCCCGCTTGTCCTTGGACACCCTGCAGGGAGGAGTCTGCAACAGGCCAGCCCCCCATGAGGCTTTCCAGCCTGCACCAGGAGCCCCTGCAGCCTTGCCTGGTGACACTGGGCTGCTCACCCTAAGGTCAGCGGCTCAGACACTCCTGCCACCCCACGAAAGAAAGGTGAGTCAGAGTGGACTCGGTGGCAGCGGGGTGGATGGGGTTCCTATCCCGGGTCATCCCGGTGTAACTCAAAGAGAAGGACCCATGAGAATATGATGACCCCCATCCCAGGGGTCAGACGGAGGAGGCTGGGACCAGCAGGGACTGGCAGTACGTTCCGGGCGGGCGGGTGTGCTTGGCCCCACCTCTGGCCTCAGCCTCGCTGGACTCTTGTCTGTGTGGACCTCTCTCTCTGGGTGAGATGAGGCGTCGGTAACCAGTGACACCGAGCATTGTCGACTCTCACCTTGGGGTCACAACAAGAAGACTGGGACATCGGTGCACACCCCTCCCAGACTCCCTGTGGGGCTTGTCTGGGTCTGCTGGACAGAAGGAGCAGGGCTGGCCGCAGGAACACCCCGCCCCCAGCCGCCACTGCCACCCTGGCTCTCACCTGGTTCTTATTCTCCCCCAGCACACCAGGCCTGAATCAGACTCCCTGAGGAGGAGGGTGCAGCAGGCCTGCCTCCCCCTTCCGATAAGGGCGCACTCCCACTGCCGACCCGATCCGAGTGTGGGCTTTCCCCTGGAGGCTCTCACATCAGCCCCATGGGAAGCTCAGTCCCCCACGGGCATGGGTTGGGCTTTTCCCATGTTTGTGGCGAATGTACACGATATAAAAGTTACATTGTAGCGACTGGGGTGTGGTGTGTGTCGGCTCCCTGCTCCATGTGCTGCTGTGTCTCCCTGACCCATTTCTAGGTCTTTCCTCGACCCCGCACAGAGAGAAGCCCTGGCCTCTGACCTCTCCCCAGTCCCCAGGAATCCACCCTCACATTCTGTGACAAGAAGGGTTGTGCTCTGGGTCCTGTGTCAGTGGAGCCTCGTGTCTGTCCCTTCACTCAGCGTGCTGGCTGCCTCCTGGGGTCCCGTGTAAGTGAGATCACATGTGACGCCCCTTCTGTTCTCACCCAGGGTGCCTACCTTGACCTTGCGGGCCCAGGAAACCTGGTGACGCAGATGGTTCAGCGCTGGACTGTCACCTCCATGACAGCCACGTGGGGAACAGTGGTGCTCTGCACACCGGGAGCCAGCCGGTGAGGCCAGGGCCCCCAGGCCTGACTGTTGGGGTCAGGACCCCCTGGCTTGTTTGCTGCGGAGATGGCTGAGCCCAGCCCCAATCTTCTGAGGGGCTGGACCCCAGCATCCTCCAAGGCCATCTCTCTCTCTAGTGTGTGACTAGGGCCCAGCCTTTGGGGGCAGCCTGCTGCCACCTGTCGGCTCTGTGCCCTGGACCAGCATGCTCCCCTGGCATGAAAGCCGGCCTCATGGACGGTGGTATGGACTCGGTCAGACCGAACCAGCTAAACACTCAGCAGCCCTAGCGGGCAGTGTTGGTCTGCTGCCCGCAAGGCCGGGACTTCAGACCACCACAGAGGGAGAGGTGAGGCTGTCTGCCGCAGGAATGATGTGCAACCTCGTCTACTCCCATGAAGGTGTGCAGGCTCAGAGACGCGCAGGGGTGGGTCTACCTCTCCTCTATCATCCCTGTGGGTCAGCATCGACTGGACGGCGGTGGAAGTGATGCCCCAGGAGGATGATTGGCAATGTCTTCTAACATAAAATGGCAAGGATGTCTCTAAGGTGATCCAGAGACACAGGTAAACCAGAGGTGCACGGATGGAGGTTTGAGCTTGCCCCAAACTCCGACGCCAATCCAAGAGCAAGAACAATTCTGATGACAATTGAACAATTAGTTCAATTGGTCCTACTTGATATCCGCCCTCATGAAGAAATCTATGAAGATATGGGTGCCGTAGTAAAGCATGGTGAAGAAACTAGATGGTACCAGCTCTCAGGAAAAAAATAGCATCTGGGGTCTTAAAGGCTTGCTTTCAAACAAGGAGCCACCTGCATGAGCTATCAACTAAGTCCACATGGAAGAAGCACCCCAGCCTGACCCAAGGATTGTCAATAATCTAATCCAAATCTAAAGGAGGGGATCAGAGCTTAATTTGGGGACACCTGGTTTGCAGAAGGCTGTGGATGACAGTGGAAGCCCAAAGTCCATATGCAGGTTCCCACATAGATGAAGCCTCAGGTGAACCCCCGTGATCATAGATGAGGGATGTGAATAGCCCTGTTATCAGCGGAGCACATTGCAGATTATGACAGACATCGTTAGGTCAAATAGAATATTTTATCTTTTGATTTCCCTTTTGACCCACTTTAAGGTTGTTTCAGTTAAAAAGGTGAAGGGGACGTGCACACAGATGAAGCCCCTCCGATGGTGACGCTGAGCGGGAGGCGGCTGGTCTTGCTATAGTGCAGAATGCACTGCAGAGTGGGTTGCTGCAGAAGCAGTCAGGTTAACATTTAGCACCCTATCGTTTTAGCTCCCTTATGACCCATTTAAATTTGTTGTCATTTTTAGTATTTTCTGCTTTCTTTTCCATTGAGGTTTTTATTTGTTTTATTTTGTTGTTGTTGGTTTTTTAAAATGTTTTTCCTGTATATGAAATCCAGGATAGGTAACTCTTTAGAGGCAGTAACTGGATTAATGGTTCCTTGGGGGTATCGCAGGGGAGGTTGGGGAGAGTGGGGAGCTGAGAGCGATGAGTACAGGAAGAAGAAGCTGTTCTAAAACCGAGTGTGGCAATGGTGGAATAACTCTCCTTGGTGTGATTGATTGAAGAGTATTGTATGTGATCATATGCCAATAAAACTGCCCCCTGTGCTCCCATAAAACCAGAGCCCAAGCGGGTGCCCTGCTCCCGGTGCACGATCCTCACTGGGTTTTAAGAAGACTCCCAGGAGTTGTGGTGGGAGGTTTAGAGAGTGTCTCAGGGCAATGGCTCATCCCATGGCTCCAATGGCCTCGAGCCTGTGGGAACTGGAAATTCTGTCCCGTGTGTCCTCCCCGGTGCTGGGCCCTTGCTCTGCAGCCCATTGTTCACGGCTCCCAGGGAACTAGGAGGGGAGTCACGGAGTGTCCCCTGCAACCTGGCTGCTGGGCTGCTCCCCTGACCCAACTTCCCCAGTGATTCTGACACTGCTTCCTTCTCACACCAGGAACCACACATGACAGGGGGGCGGGCGTCCCGCGTTTAGTACACGACGGGGTACAGGAGCACAAGTGACACATGGTGCATGGAACATGTAACACAGGGTACAGGTAACATGGGGCACATGTAACAGGGGGTTACATGAAACACAGGGGTACTTGAAACATGGGGTACATGAAAGAAGAATGCTGTCACCTATTAGCTTGACATCTATTTTCCAACAGTATCCGGCTTATCAATCCCTCTGGAGGACCGAGAGATCTGGAGGGCCCCAGAGGGTTCTGAGCGCGTGCCTAAAATCAAAACCACCCTGGCAGGGCCCCCGTTTTAGTATAAACTTTACAACTAGTCCAGGTCCACTTGAGTGCCCCCACCCCCTTTCCGACCTCAAGCTGCTTGGGGGAAGTGCAAGGCTGGGGAAGGAGAGTGGCCTGAGCAGTCTCCGTGGAGGGTGGGGAGGAGCCTACACAGAGGATGCAGGTGGAGACAAGGAAGTTCCCCCTCAGAGCAAGAGATGCAAACAGCAGAGAGCCGGCTTCTTTGTCCTCCCCCCTCTGCACCCATAGACCCACAATGACCCCTCCTCATGGGGGTTTTGCACAAGCTGCTGTTCATGTTGCTCTCGCCGCCCTAAGAGGCGGACCACCACCGCTGTGTGCAAAAGGAAGAATCGGGGTTTGGTCAGACGTGCCGGGAGGCGTGTCTGTGTTCCCATCTCTGTGTCTCTCTTACAGAACCCCGTGTTCTCCTTACTCTCATTATCTGGGGTGGTCTCCCCGGGGTTGGCACAAAGAGCAATGACCTCTCTTTGGAGGAGCCCTGGTGGCCTAGTGGTTATGCTTAGAATGGCTAGCTGCAGGG